AAATTCCTCCACTTTTCTTTGATTGCGGATCTTGTTGATATCTATATGTGGTCTTCCTTCCTTTTTAGTGTGATACAATCTCTTTGTTTGCAGTTTTATTCTGCTACACACCAGGGAATGATCAGTGTCACAATCAGCACTCTGGTAACTGCGTGTGATCGTAATACTAGATAGGCTAGAACGACTAGTGAGGATCAAATCAAGCTGATGCCAATGCTTTGATCTTGGATGTCTCCAGGAAACTTTGTGTTGAGGCTTCGTATTAAAGAACGTGTTGGTGACACAAATAATAACATAACAGCAAAACTCCAGCAAGCGTTGGCTAAGCTTTTACCACCCAATGAAAGGGCTGCTCCAACAGAGGAATCACTCACTTTTCAAGATCCTCCTTAGTATCCTCCTTAGAATCGGGCTTGATCCTCAAGAATAAAGGGTCTGAGCAAATATCACTATTGTCATAAGGAGTTGAAATACCTTTTTCAATTTTTCCTGGTGCTGTATCTTCTTTCCTGACCTGAAGTGACCACCATCTTATTACCAATACCAAATGATGCCAGGTAACAAGACTACCAGTCTGTTTCTAGGCTCATCCATTTTCTCACCAATACAGGCCATGTACAGTGGAACCTCTACTTACAAACTTAATCCGTCCCAGAAGATTAGTTGAAACGTTTGTAAGTAGATGCAAAATTTCCCATAGGAATGCATTGAAAACCATTTAATCCGTTCCGGCTGTTTTTCGTTCTTATCTAGAGGCACCGTTCTTAAGTCGAAGCATTAGTTCCCATAGGAGCCGTTTAATCCGTCCTCTACCACTAGGGGGAGAATGTTTCTTCTTTTGACCTAATGAACTTAGGTCAAAAAAGGGCAGAAAGGAGGGAGGGGGCAGGGAACACCTTCTGAACAGAACACCTTTAAAAACAAGCAGCTTTTAAACAAAACAAACCCAAGCCAAGCACCTTTTAAGGAAAAAAAAAAAAGGCAGGGAGGGAGGGAACACCTTTAAAACAGAACACCTTGAAAAGCACCTTTTCAACCAAGCCAAGCACCTTTTAGGTTAAAAAAGGGCAAGAAAGGAGGGAGGGAACAGTGGGGAAAAGAGGAAAGATAGAAAGAAGATCATCACTGGGGCACACAAGCCCCTCAGACAAATGTTTGTGCTTTTAACCACAAAAAGAGAGAAGGCAGAGAGAGAGAAGACAATGTGGGGAGAGTTTGGAGTCTAAAACACATTTTAACAAAACACATTTGAGTCTAAACTGCATTTTAGAGCAAACAAGCCAGCACAGCCCCTCACAGAATATTTTCTGATTTCAAGAAAAAAAGACTCATCACAAAAATGATGAGTATGGAGGGGGGGGGAGATATTTGAGTCTAAACTCTCATTTTAAAGCCTGCTTACACCAACAGTCAGCAGCCATTACTATATTCCAGCACAGAACTCCTAATCACAGAAAGAGAGCATAGAGAGGGAGGGGGGTAGAGACTTGAGTCTAAACT